GGGCCCAAAAAAATTTTTTGGGGGCTTTTTTTAATTTTTCCTTGTTACCCCCTCCCAAATTTTTTTTTTTAATTTGTAGATACAGTAGGAACATACTATTCACCATTGTTTGTTCTAGGTTCCAGTGCCTCCGTTCAGGTCTGTTCCAGTGCAGTATAACATGCCTGGTGTTTAGGATGGAGGGAGAGGGAGAGGTGCTCTATAGGACAGTCCCCTGGGACAGGAGGCTTCTAGCCCAGAGTGGCAAGAGACCTGCAGGACCCCTGTTCAACATCGACTGCCCTCAGAAGTCTGTCTGCCAACTACACCTCCCACACTGTCAGATTCATTCTGGTAAGTATTCATTTCAAGTAACTTTCAGGAATAAAAGAGGAATTTCACTTTCAAGACTGCTCTAAAGAAGATTACTCTGCTAATATGCTACATTGTCTTGGTTGTCATTTATATTGTAGTATATCTGAGAAAGATCTAAATATTCTCTTTCTTTCCCAGGTGGTGGATGTGACTTCCTGTCTGTAGCCCATGTGACTGATGACATCATTGAGTGTCTTCCTCCTCATGAGATAACAGAAACACACATTATAATAAACATCACTGGATTCTCTGCTTATGGTGATGTCACGGATGATGATGCTCCCATCTCCCCTATCCAGGGGCTTGTGTTGTTATTCCACCAACTGTTTGTCCCTGAAGAAAGGTCCATCCTGAATGTGTTGTTGCTTCCCAGTAATGTTGTGAGAAAAGAGGTGAGCTGGAGCCCTACAACCCCAGAAACCTTATTCTATCTGGCTGGAGTTCAATCAAACACACAATGGGAAATGTAATACTGGCATAACGGCTAAAACATTTAATCAAACCATTATGGAGAGAAGCAAGTGTGACTGAATTCCATCTGTTGAACTTTTTGATCTTATTGCATTATTCTCAAGCTTTAAGTAGTTTTTTTACTCACATTCTCTGCAATTATTTTTAAAAAGAGGGTATTTTGAAGCACAATTAACCTGTCTATTGTTGGTCCTTTCACGGTGCGGTGATTGAAAGGGATGGTATGTGAGACCTTTTAACAACTGCTCAGTGTAAACTTCCCCCGAAGCAAGAATATGCCTTCTCCACTAATTCCACAGATGCACATCGAATACAATATTTGAGTAATACATTTTTTATTACAATGTAATTTTTTATTTCATTGTCACTTCCTATGAAAGCAACTACTACCCCACATTTCAGTTGTTTTTTCTGAAAGAAAAGGAAGGTGATGAACTTGTATGGAACAGACTTGTCTGGTTGCCAGGTAACAAACATTCAGAGCTCAAATCCAATCAAATGAAGTCAGACCCGTAGTACTGTTACATGTTTTTAGTTTTCTTACAGCGTTATTGTTATTGAACTATGATGTCATTATATCATATGAATATACCTTTTATCAGATAGTAAAACACCATCTCTTTTCAGCCTCACCAACAGATGTCACCTCTACAAGTTCACTGACATTCACCATCATTATAAACCTCTCGATAACAAACTACAGATTAATCACCATTATAAACCTCTCAATAACAAACTAGAGATTCATCACCATCATAAACCTCTCAATAACAAACTAGAGATTCATGACCATCATAAACCTCTCAATAAGTAAAAAATAAAAATAATTAAAGAGCAGCAGTAAAATAAAATAACAGTAGCGAGGCTATATAACGGGGGGTGCCGGTACAGAGTCAATGTGCAGGCGCACAGGTTTGTCAATTTGTTTCATAAGAGTTGTAAATTCTCTGAAAAATTATTTTTTTGTTATTCTCTCTAACATGTTATATAAATAGTTCCCCATTACTTTATATGTAATAAAAAAATAATATATATAATTATAATAATAAAAGGTATTAGTTTTCTTGGGGTTTATTGAGCCAGAAAGTCACCACATCTGCCACCAAAGCTTCCTTGTCTTTGTTGTTGTCCACTAGTGAATGTTTGATTTCTTTGAGTTTCTCATGGATGAAGATCGACAACTTCAGTTCATGTAGAAAAGCCTCTGTTACACCATAAACCCTAGGAATAGATGGCACAAGACCCACAGACTCCAGGGCTCTGACCATCGATGTTACAAAACGATCGGACCACAGTCTTTTCACCAGTTCATCAAAGTGGTTGAAGAAGAAGTACTTGGGTGGGTCATGTAAACAAGGATGTCGTCGCTGGCTGGGATGATTGATCTTACAACCGTGGCATTTTTCTCTTGTATACTCTCCAATCACCACATCTAAAAGTGTGGCCACAGAGGCATTGATGGTATCCACAAAAATAGTACTGACCATCCCATCAAACACATCCTCATGCTGTGTATATGTGTAGGGGTCAGATGTCATGAATGGGGTGAGTAGAAAGGAGGGCTGTGATGCAGATCCTCGTCCGTAGGGGATGGTACCCACTCTGTCAGATGTAATATGAATATCCATGGTATATGATGAAATGAAGAACCATAGGGGTAACTATGGTAACCCATTTTATTGTTGAACCCTTCCTTTGGGCTCGGGCCGGGGTTAACGTACCACCAGCATACTCCGTTTCTTTTCAGGGGTTGACCCTTCTGGGACCTCGTTTCACCCAATATCCTTAGTATCCATAGGTATAATACACTTCCTTAGTTTAACAATACTCTGCCTGCGTTGGCTCTGTACAAAGAGAGCATCCACTAACTCAAACAATTTCAATTCCATTATATCCCAGCCTATAAAAGGAATAAGCATACGTAACCTAAAATCCCCTGTCAGCCCCCCATCACGGAGGTTCCCGTTAACGGATTTTTCTCGTTGCTGATATAGAGCTCCACGCCTCCACAAGGAAGTCCATTCTTTCTTTGTATTTTCACCCTATGAAATATTCTTCCTGAGGAGTCAGGGGCACCTTCCCACCGGGCCTCGTACCCCGTGTACAAGCTATAACCCTTTGAGGTAACTCTCAGTTCAGGACACACCACCTTGCGAAACACATGCCAGTCTTCAATCCTGTAGTCCACTCCTAAGGTTTGGTCTGTATATTCTTCTCCTTGGGCTAAGGTATATGGTTTCACTCTATAGATAGGGTAATCAAACATATACCCCCATAGTTGTCCATTAGACATCAACACTTGATCTTTCAGTACAGTTACGGGAGGTATTTTGGTTCTATAGAAATGTAGAAAAGTCTTTTTTGGAGCATCATATATTGATGATGTCTACTCATCCCTTTATGACATAGCCTGGGTCCTACTTCCGATGTTAATGTCATCACGGGCGTGTCAGTACTTAACAAATCCATGTTTTCTTAATTTTTTCTTTAGAGTTTTCTGTGGTTTGTCTCTCTTGAGGTTTCTTGTCGCTCGTAGTGTTCACAGGACAAGTCTAACACTTACTTATACTCAGGCAGACCTACCCCGGAAATTACTTTTTCATTCTACAAGGGGTCACAAGCTCACTACCCAGCATTGTAATTTTTTATTCCATAAAGTTAGTGTGGAAGAGGTGAAAAAATGATTGTTGTCTATCAACAATGACAAGCCACCGGGGTCTGACAACTTGGATGGAAAATTACTGAGGATAATAGCGGACGATATTGCCACTCCTATTTGCCATATTTTCAATTTAAGCCTACTAGAATGTGTGTGCCCCCAGGGTTGGAGGGAAGCAAAAGTCATTCCGCTACCTAAGAATAGTAAAGCCTCCTTTACTGGCTCAAATAGCCGACCAATCAGCCTGTTACCAACCCTTAGTAAACTATTGGAAAAAATTGTGTTTGACCAGATACAATGCTATTTTACAGTAAACAAATTGACATCATACTTTCAGCATGCTCATAGAGAAGGACATTCAACAAGCACAGCACTTACACAAATGACTGATGATTGGCTAAGAGAAATTGATGATAAAAAGATTGTGGGGGCTGTTTTGTTAGACTTCGGTGCAACTTTTGACATAATCGATCATAGTCTGCTGCTGGAAAAACGTATGTGTTATGGCTTTACTCCACCTGCTATATTGTGGATAAAGAGTTACCTGTCTAACAGAACACAGAGGGTGTTCTTTAATGGAAGCCTCTTCGACATAATCCAGGTAGAATCAGGAATTCCCCAGGGCAGCTGTCTAGGCCCATTACTTTTTCAATCTTTACTAATGACATGTCACTGGCTTTGAGTAAAGCCAGAGTGTCTATGTATGAGGATGACTCAACACTATACATGTCAGCTACTACAGCGACTGAAATGACTGCAACACTTAACAAAGAGTTGCAGTTAGTTTCAGAGTGGGTGGCAAGGAATATGTTAGTCCTAAATATTTCTAAACTAAAAGCATTGTATTTGGGACAAATCATTCACTAAACCCTAAACCTCAACTAAATATTGTAATAAATAATGTGGAAATTGAGCAAGTTGAGGTGACTAACCTGCTTGGAGTAACCCTGGATTGTAAACTGTCATGGTCAAAACATATTGATACAACAGTAGCTAAGATGGGGAGAAGTATGTCCATAATAAAGCGTTATTCTGCCTTCTTAACAGCACTAACAAGGCAGGTCCTCTTCAGGCCCTAGTCTTGTCACACCTGGACTACTGTTCAGTCGTGTGGTCAGGTGCCACAAAAAAGGACTTAGGAAAATTGCAGTTGGCTCAGAACAGGGCAGCACGGCTGGCCCTTGGATGTACACAGAGAGCTAATATTAATAATATGCATGTACATTTCTCCAGGCTCAAAGTGGAGGAGAGATTGACTTCATCACTGCTTGTGTTTATGAGAGGTGTTGACATGTAGAATGCACCGAGCTGTCTGTTTGAGCTGCTGGCGCACAGCTCGGTCACCCATGCATACCCCACAAGACACGCCACCAGAGGTCTCTTCACAGTCCTAAAGTCCAGAACAGACTATGGGAGGTGCACAGTACTACATAGAGCCATGACCACATGGAACTCTATTCCACATCAAGTAACTGATGCAAGTAGTAAAATTTTTATTTAAAAAACAGATTAAACACCTTATGGAACAGCGGGGACAGTGAAGCAACACAACATAGGCGCAGACACATGCATACACACACACGATAACATACTCACTATACACACACGTACACATGGATTTTGTACTGTAGATCTGTGGTAGTGGTGGAGTAGGGGCCTGAGGGCACACAGTGTGTTGTGAAATCTGTGAATGTATTGTAATGTTTTTAAAATTGTATGAACTGTCTTAATTTTGCTGGACCCCAGGAAGAGTAGCTGCAGCCTTGACAGGAACTAATGGGGATCCATAATAAATACAAATACGCAGGAAATCCGTAATCCTCTGGAAAACAAGGGAATTTATTGAAAGTTCCAGGAATGTTGCAACCCTACTCCTACATCCCGTACCAAACAGGCAGACAGGCAGGCAGACTATTAACATACAGTATATTTTCATGTTTTCTTCATATCTTAAATAAATCCCACAAAGGCAATAAAGAGTCCAAATATTATTTCATTACAAATACAACCTGTGATTCAACTGGAAACATAAAGAACAAGACAATATCAGAGATGTTGTTTCAACTTTATCGCTGGATAAGAATGGCTTCTCTCGCCCACCTGTTTTGGTTTGGTGTCAGTTTGTCCACTAGAGGGCGACGAACTTACTAGAGACCAATAGGGAGGATGTGCCACAGGATGGGATGGGCTGCTGAAAACGAAAGGAAATTAGCGCTCTACTATCATGCTTCATTACTTTCCTGTCGGCTGTCTGCACCTGTAGTGTCTAAAAATGGACCGGTTCAGGGTAAGAAAATAGTTTGAAAAAAAACTGAGTATGCTGTTATTTAATGGAATCTG